CGGAAGCCAGCCGACCAAGTCAAACCGGGTACCTGAATGGGGGAGCGGGGACTGAGAAAAAAGAGAAGACAGACAGGGTGCAGGAGGGAGAGCAGATCTCACACTGCCTCTCCGAGTTTATTTCTTATCCTCTTTTTATACATAATCTGTTCCTTTTGGTATCCCAAGATAACATACTTAAAGTAACACCCTGAAGATCCAGGTACAATTGACACTTCCTTCGACACTCCCTTCGACACTCCCTTCGACACTCCCTTCGACACTCCCTTCGGCTATACTTAATCTTCTTCTTCCTGGAATTCCACAGAACCAGCCTTTTCTTTTTTATGCAAGCAGGCCTCCTGAGACAATTCATGCACTCTTTTGAATTTGGGGAGCTTTAGCTCCCTACAGCTGGCAAGGCGAGAATCCACAGAGGTGAGCTGGGGAGTCCTCGAGGTGGGGGAGGGAGCCGTGGGAAGACACATGAGCCGGAGAGCACTGGGCGGCACGGGGGACAGCAGCTTTGACCGGCTGAGTCGCTGGCTTCTGCAGGCCCTTTCCTCTGCGTTTTTCGGATGCCTCCTCTCCTCTCTCAGTGTAATCACATAAAGTTACGGTTTTGTTAATTAAGGTTAAACGTTAACCTGTGTGTACCTTGACCTCCATCTAACACTTTCCGGACAGTGTTCACTGAGTATGGGGTGCCGCCTCCCACCCCGCCCTGTGCCAGGCACTGCACGGGCACTGGCTTCAAGAATGGGGACCCGTGGAGTGGACCAGCTCCCTGGGGCGGGGTGGGGGCGAGGGCAGAGCCCGTGGTTGTGGGCACGGGCTTCCTCCGTGCTGACGAAGCCACAGTGAGCCCTTGCCCTTTGCGGAGTCTGTGTTTATGAATTTTCCCAGTAGAAAAAATTTATTTGTAACCCCAAATCAACACCCGCTCTCCTGGTCACTCGTGGACTCGGCAAATGTCGCAAGGTGTGCCACCGCCAGCCCAGGGTGTACCAGGTGAGACGCTGCCTCCGAGATGCCTCTGGAGGGAGCCCGGGCGCCATCAGACCGCGGGAGCCCAGCTCAGGCCCATCTGTGGGAGGCCCCAGACTTGTCACTCAGAACTTCCAAACCTCGCTTTTCCTCTTATGCAATAAGGAGAATGGAACCCACCTGAAGGAGCTGTTTTGAGGATTTAAGATTATAATTCGTAGACAATGGGCGTGCATTTTCCCCGTGGGGCCCCGTGGTAGCTGATTCTGTGTGCGCAGTCACTTCAGACTTGGCGAATAATGAGGAACAAGATGAGCTTGTTCCTCATTATTTGCCAAGGGCACAGTGAGTGTAGACGGGCAGCCTGGTCAAAGTGTGGGACAGTCAGTGCCTCCAGAGGCTCCATGGAATTAACTCCGCTGTGCTATGGCTTAGGCGATTCCGTGACCAGAATAAACAGTGCTGGGCGGTGCATTCCAGAACCGCACACGTTTCGGCATGTGGATGGCATCTCGGTCAACGTGTTCGTTCGGAAAGTGAGCCGAGATGAAATTCCACCGGAGCAACAGCCCCGTATTTATTACATAAGTTGGCTGTATTAACAAAAACACCCCCAGCAGGAAAGCTCCAGGGTCAGATGGTTTCCTTGGTGAACTCCCTCAAACAGAGCCTTCCAGAAAATGGAGCCTCTGGAGGCACTGACTGTCCCACACTTTGACCAGGCTGCCCGTCTGCACTCACTGTGCCCTTGGCCCCCGGTCACCAAGCTCCTCTTGTTCCTCAATAGGACCCCTGGGACGGGTGTCCATAGCAGACTCCCCTGGAAGCCTGTCTGTTGGACGGTGAGGTAGCCCAGTGGACTGTCCTTGAAGCAAGAACAAGTCAGGAATGGCTCCCAAAGCCTCACCTGCCACTGTCACCTCCACTTGGTACCCCCAGTCCATGCTGGGTACTGGGCTCCCCGAGTCTAGTGGGGTGGGCTTTCGTCTCCCTCTGCCACAGCCCTGGGGCCTTGGTGCCTTTCCTCGGCCTGAGCTCTTGGAGATCTTGAGGCCACTCCCAGCCATGCTCTGGACAAGGCAGCCTGGACCTGGGGGGCAGGTGGGTGGGGGTGTTTAACAGGCCTCTTCCAGGTTCACCCCAAAAGCTTAGAGCCCCACGGGGTGGCTTTGGGCCCCTCACCTGCTCTGTCTCTT